CGGTCATCGTGCACGCGACCTATTCTAGAAACGTGAACCTCCCATTCCGAATATAGGGTGATGAGAGCTTTTAGGCCAGCATCAGATATCTGGGTTATACCGCACACAATAGATCTCTGAGATAGTCTGAATATTCCTTCCACTTATTTTTTTCCCACCTGGAAGTGTGGAATATGTCAAAGAATCATTTTCATTCAATCTATACCTATCGTTCGTTCGTTCGTTCCCTTATTTATTCAATCTCTTGCATGGCGTGTCAAATTCTCAATAGCAAATTCAATGCTTCTTTGGAACATTGGAAAATTGGAAACATTTCCGGGAGAATGAAGACAGAGTTAGGTACTGGTGAACTCTTGAATATCAAAGAAGGTAACAGGCAGTATATTGAATTGATGGATGTGTAGAAACCATGACTCAAAAATCGATACTGAACAAGCAGACATTCTGGCACGAAAAGGAGCATCAACGCTACTTGATGAAGCTGAAGAAGCAATGAGAGTAACACACTGGCGAATACTTCCAGGACTGCTGTAGGCTAAAGATCTCCCCGGCAATTTCAACCGAGCAAATTCGAAGACACTGAACGACCTCAGAAAAATTAGTCTCAAAAGAATAACAAGATTTCTTACCGGGCATTGTAAACTCGAAGAACATCTAAAGAAGCGTGGCTTAGGACAGCACCTGCAGATTCTGCGGGGAACATAACAAAAGATCGAATATTCTGGGAGCATACCAGCTGACCGTGGAAGAAATACCACGAACAAATTCCCTCCCTCCCTGAGGCTTGAGGGGCTGCAATAAACAAGAAAATCTTGAGCTAGAAGAAGAAGACGAAGTACAATAGATCTTATCGGGTCACAACGCAACTGTCACCATCCACAACCACCAAAAATATATTGCCCAGGGAGCCAAGTGGTCTTCATCCGGCCCTAGTATGCAAATTCTTTCCGCGGCATAATTCTTATCAAATTGCATCAAAAACCAATTTCCATGGATTAATTAACTTATCGTTCGAAACTATCAATTTCCAATGCAAATTCAAATATTACTGGTGACTCCGCTGCATGCGAGCACAATTAGATAATTGTCTAGGATATGTTGAAAACCCATAAAAATTACTAGAAAGTTGCATACATTAGAAAAGCGTAGCATAGAATCTGTTATCAATGGCCAGTCTATTAGGTATTCTTCTTCTTCTCGTATTTGCAAATGATCCATTGACATATTCGAAAGATATCAACGGAAACGGCAAGTTGCTATGTTGATGACCCGAACATATTCATTGTAGATATTATCATCGATTGAAGTATAGCTACTTGAAATCGATTAAGAATTAATCAATGCTTGGTTCGAAATATCAGGTTTTTCCATTTGAGGAAACAGATTATGCAGTCATGTAAGGCATTAGTTTTGACTCGAAGCTATCTTGGAATATACATATTGACAATCTTTGTGGCAAACGTTATGTCCCTGTATATTTCAGGCTGGATTGAAACCAAATATTTTCGATAATATGTTAGCTATTATGGAGAAGTACGCCTATAACTTGGAGGGATTGGTGCAAGAGAGGACAAATCAGTTGACTGAGGAGAAGAAGAAAACTGATGCGCTTCTCCATAGAATGCTGCCAAAGTGAGTATTTTCCACTGCTCCACAACATATTATATGTTCACTCAACTTTTGATGAAACCGCACATAAAACGTATTTGGAGTTCTGAAAATGACACTGATCTGAACATTTTCAGATAGGAGCTATCGATTGGATCGAAATTCAAAATGTAAAGCTATACAGTGTCTTTCAAAAGTATCGGAACGGTCTCATATTTCAGGAACGGCTTGAGAAAAATTCACGAAATTTTCTACAGGGTGATTATTGATGATGTCCGATTCAATGGTGGCATCGGCAAAGTTGCCAAGTTTACAGTTTTTCAGATATTAGGAGTAACTTTATTTTTTCAAATGGATTACCCCATTTATTTTCATTGCAATTAATTAAGCGCCTCCTAATTACTTGAGTCCCTGAATATCAGATTCGTAATTGACGTGATTTTCGAAATATAACAACATAGCATTTTCGTTAAAAAGTTCTGGAACGGTCCCATATTTCAGAAACGGCTCAGAGAAAATTTATTTTTTTACACCTACCCTCCCCCGCATGTGACGCCCCCAAATCAAATTTTGGAGTTATAAATTCAGAGTATCATTACCCATGAAATCTTCATGCCGTACACCAATTTTCGAAAACTCATTGTAAAGGATTTCAAAGTTATAAAGAGAAAATCGTCTTTTGACGTGTCCTCATCAAGAAGCGTAGTTTCTTTAGGAAGCATTTTCAGACCCTTATTAATTGGAAGAAGTCGCTTACTTTCGAATCACCCTGTATAAATACTATAATAATAATGCAAAATGTGAGGTGGTTTTCATTCTGAATTCCAGATCTGTAGCAGATTCGCTCAAAAAGGGGGAGAAAGTTGAGGCAGAGTCGTTCGAATGCGTGACAATATATTTTAGTGATATCGTAGGATTCACAGAACTTTCAGCAGTTAGTACTCCACTTCAAGTAATAGATTTGCTCAATGATCTCTACACTTGTTTCGACTCCATAATATCACATTATGATGTCTATAAGGTGAGTTATATATAATCCACACTCGAACTTAATTTATAACTCGATTATTTGAATCAAATTTGACGATAATAGTAAATGAAATCTGGTACTGCTCCCACATTTTTACTTGAAACCAGTTCACAACAAATCTTACTGATAGCTGCATTTTCATTGATGTTGAGTTGATCCATTTCTTGATTCTTGTGATTGATGGAGATGAGGAAAATTATTAGAATGTATGGTCTCCACCCAGAAGATAATGCATTTTGATATTCATTTTGTTTTCATAAAGCAAAGTAATCAGTTTGGAAATAATTCAATGAAAATTCACCAGAAAGAAAGTTCCACATTATGAAACATATGGAATTGTTTTCCTGAGATGTTATACCAGAGTAAACAAAAACATTCCTGGGTATATGAAGGTACATATATATAGTATCCATGTCTGACAAAGTAACATGAACATCTGTGGTGTTGCAGCGGATTCTTTATTTTACAAATCGTTAGCAATATGCTGAAAATCTACTAACAAACTGAAAATTATTGTAATACATGGCTTATTCTCAAAATATCGTATATGTGTTATATATTTTTGAATACCTACTACAAAGCATCACTGTTTCAAATATGAAGAAATATACTCATACGGTGTTCAATTAATAAAAACATAACATTAACTAATTATCAACAGCTCATTTTGAAAATCTGTTTACGCCTCTAGATTTTACGTAAGAAAATATATGAAATGCAGTTTTTACTTTTCCTATAAGTTGAAAGGTAGCTGAGATGCAACAGTTTCAGTTTCTCCCTATATATCAAAAACGAAGCGTATATACTCACCTACTTTGAGAATTTTGTTTGCGGTATCGCGAGTTTCATAAAAAACGTCAATGTTCGCCAAAACAAAAAATCTCTAACTTTGAAAATAAGTGAGATATCCCGTAAGGTCATCGAAAATGACACACGACACATCCATATTCTATATTTCCAGGTTGAAACAATCGGTGACGCTTACATGGTTGTGAGTGGACTGCCCATCAAGAATGGGGATCGTCATGCCGGAGAAATTGCTTCAATGGCGCTGCATTTGCTCAGTAAAATAAAGAAATTCGAAATTAAACACAGGCAAGGCGAAGTACTCCAATTGAGGATAGGCATACATTCAGGTACGCACTCAGAACAATCCAGAGCACTGGAAAAGAGGGAAGAAGCAGATGGATGAGAATGAATGGGATTTGATGAGAATGGATGAGAATGGATGAGAATGGATGAGAATGGATGAGAATGAATGCGAATGGATGAAAATGGATGGAAATGAATGAAATTGGGTAAATATTGAAGAAAATTGATGGGATTTGTTGGAAATGGATGGGAGTCAATGGGAATAGATGTGAAGGAATGAGTGAGATTGAACTGAGGAGGAAAATGAAAGGAAGTGGGTATCAGATTTTACCCACCTTTTGGAGATTATATAAGTTCTTGAGAATACTTCCTCTGGCAAAGAATTCCAAAGATTTGCTGATCTATGGACAAACCAGTCTTTTGCCATATATCAAGGTTGACAACGGAAGAATGTGCTGACTGGGCTTGTTGAATTTGTCTGACTGGTATTGCTAGTGATGAAATGATATCACAGATATCTGAAGAACATTTCTCGTGAAAGTATCATTGGGAAGAAAAAGGCCGCCTACTTTTCTAAGGTGTTACTATATGATGTCTTGATGTCAATGATGAGATTGAATGTGAATTGTGTATTAAAGCAATATAATCCTTCAGATCTTCTTATTTTTCGAAAAGTATAATGATTACGGAGTTATAACTATGTTGTATTGCGGTTTGATTGGATCTCATTTATTTCTGATGATCTCGACTTGTTCGTTGCAGGCCATGTTGTTGCTGGTGTAGTCGGACTGAAAATGCCAAGGTATTGCCTTTTTGGAGATACTGTCAACACTGCTTCGAGAATGGAGAGTTCAGGAGATGCTTTCAGGATACACATATCACATGCTACGTATATGCTGCTCCAAAGGTTAGGAGGGTATACTTGCGAGGAACGAGGACTGATACCTATCAAGGTAACTATATTGAGATTTCAAAGCGTATCGTCAATAATTTGAGAGGATTGATGCTTTCTCCACCTCAGCTCATTATAGTTGCAACCTGAAGAACAAAAAATATGACAAGATCGGAATATAATATAATCTTCAAAAGTTCAAAAAAAAATCCAATACCTACTTCCTGTCCCTATCCTCCCTAGGAACGCACGATGTTCTTTGAATATTATAGGGATTCCCTTTCGTGCGCTCCAAGCGATAAAAAAATATATATATAAATGAATGTGGTTCCCTGAAAGAGTTCAAGGAATTTCTTTCGAAAATTCATTTTTTTTTAGGGTAAAGGTGAAATGAGAACGTATTGGTTAGCAGGAGATGATCCAGCTCAACGAATGGCAAGAATCAGAGAAGAACTCGTTGGATCTAATTTATTCAACAGTATAAGTTCAGAAAGTGAGTAAAACGATGATTTTGATATTCATGTGACTGAGTCATCACTAAAGTAGTGAAAGTTTCAAAAAATCTCCAAATGGACTCTCGGTTAAACTCATGAACATTCTACCTGAAACTGCAATATTTCGGAACCTTCAAAGGGATCTCAGGGAGGAGGATCGAGCTGTAGAACTGTTACCATTGAACCTTGACAGCAGAGGCATGAAGATATTCTCATCACCTTGGGACATTGTTCGAATTGTCATCTGTTATATTTCATTCACAGAGATCTCAAAAAAAAAATTTGATGTTTTGCGGTCGAGTATAACTTTTTTTCTCGTCAACCGATTTTCAAACCCACAGGCTCATATTAAAGCTGACACTTCAGACAAAGACATAGGAGATCAGAATTGACTCAAGATGATAAATATTAATGACCAAGAGTTTTCTCTCAGAGGTGATACAAGTCTGAAGCACCCTTGAAATCTCGATTGAGAGGAGAATCAAATAAAAATTAACTTGTTTCGGAATTATAATTCATCATGGATGCGTCCACCGCGTCGTTCACATCTTCCTCAGAAAAAAAATCAGTCCATTGTTTACTTCGAATGCATGACCCGTAACCAACGAAATAAGAATAACAATAAGTGACTGAGAAGCCCCACCAGCTGACGCTCATTCCACAATAGCAATTTTTTTCTGAATAGTGAAGCATTTCAGTAAGCAAGAAGAAGAAAACAAGTTCAATTGCATTTTCATCGAACAACAACAAAGAGAATGATCAACTTGCATAACAGTACAATTGAAAATCATCAAATTCAGTATTAAGTGGTTCCTTCCCGTTGGGCATTCACTACATTGACCGTAACCGGCAGTCTGTCTATCATACTATCAATAAATTCCTGGGGAATAGCTGTCTATACTCGCTGTACCATATGCACCAAGTCATAAAAATTTTCCATTCGGCCATATCTTTCTTTCAATATACGATCTCGCATTGTCATCAAAGAGAAGAAGTTGTCGCCGATATTTGCGGCGTAAGGGACCAGATTACTCTCACACATAAATCTGTATACTTCTCACCGTTCATACCCTCTCCTCTCAGAATCACCAATTAACTCCTTCCGTTCATAGATATTTCATCAAACACAGTCACTCCTTCACGTTCAAAAGCCACCCTTGCCTCAATATCCCCTTCCAAAAATCAAGCAGATTGACAGTTTGGAGGGTAAAAAATTCTTGTTCCAACATTCGTGGAATCATTTTCTGCTAGTTGGGCGTTAGATGCGGCATCAAAATGAGCAATTTATTTCATATGAATTAAAATTGATGTCAGTCAGTTACTTATTGTGATTCTTAGGGGCCATATGTATTACAGGCGAACAATGGGTTGATTTCTTCTCAAAAACATGTCGTTTCAATGAGAGCTAACATTTTCACTCTCACCAGTTGGCGCTACTAAAACGTGAGGTCAGTGTCAAAGTGAAAAATCCCAAAATTCTGCCGACTCACGTTTTTTTCACTCTTAGTGTGGAACTTCACGACCAATTGAGCTCTTTTCCACCTTGAACGAGGAAGAGGAAAGTTCTCTCCTCTTCCATCTTCCTCTTCAATGCTACCAACTTGGCCGCATTGAAATATAAAGGGGTCCGATGAATCTTTCCTTGTCTAACCTCTTCAGCGCCACTGAACTATTTTCAATTTTATAATATGCCTGTTCCTTCGTGCTTGCTTTACCTGCCTAAATTGATTTTTTTCGGACTTTCACTGTTCACATCATGCCATAAACAGAGACAACTATAGAAAACCAGCAGCCTTATGATATTCCTTCTTCCTGAACTAACTGACATATTTCATATTCCACTTGGACTGAACTGAATCAGTTAACAGGCATTCTAACTATTCAAATTCTCTGGAAAGAACACAATAGCTGATTCAGGTTCAGTTCTAGTGGGATATTTCAGTTAGTTCAGATTATTATGATGTGATATGTCTATGTCATTGATGCCATTGACTGATAACCTTCCGCATTTTTCAAATGAAATTACTAATTATATCATACTTATTTTGACATAGCGTTAATTTGACACCCTGCTGAATTCAAAAATAATTCAGGAACACAAACTAGATGTTAGACAAGGGCAGATATGTCAGACCTTCCTATATTTCAAGGCGACAACGTTGGTAGTATTGCAGAGAAAGATGGAAGAGGAGAGGAGAGAACTTTTCTTTCTCTTGTTCACTATATAAATGAGCTCAATTCTTACATTGACGGAGAAAAATATATCGTAGGAACCTAACCTAACCTAACCTAACCTAACCTGAACTAACTGACATATTTCATATTCCACTTGGAGTGACCTAAATCAGTCAACAGGCATTCTAACTATTCAAATTCTCTGGAAAGAACACAATAGCTGATTCAGGTTCAGTTCTAGTGAGATATTTCAGTTAGTTCAGATTATTATAATGTGATATGTCTATGTCATTGACGCCATTGACTGATAACCTTCCGCATTTTTCAAATGAAATTATCAATTATATCATACTTATTTTGACATAGCGTTAATTTGACACCCTGCTGAATTCAAAAATAATTCAGGAACACAAACTAGATGTTAGACAAGGGCAGATATATCAGACCTTTCTATATTTCAAGGCGACAACGTTGGTAGTATTGCAGAGAACGATGGAAGAGGAGAGGAGAGAACTTTTCTTTCTCTTGTTCACTATATAAATGAGCTCAATTCTTACATTGACGGAGAAAAATATATCGTAGGAACCTAACCTAACCTAACCTAACCTAACCTGAACTAACTGACATATTTCATATTCCACTTGGAGTGACCTAAATCAGTCAACAGGCATTCTAACTATTCAAATTCTCTGGAAAGAACACAATAGCTGATTCAGGTTCAGTTCTAGTGAGATATTTCAGTTAGTTCAGATTATTATAATGTGATATGTCTATGTCATTGACGCCATTGACTGATAACCTTCCGCATTTTTCAAATGAAATTATCAATTATATCATACTTATTTTGACATAGCGTTAATTTGACACCCTGCTGAATTCAAAAATAATTCAGGAACACAAACTAGATGTTAGACAAGGGCAGATATATCAGACCTTTCTATATTTCAAGGCGACAACGTTGGTAGTATTGCAGAGAAAGATGGAAGAGGAGAGGAGAGAACTTTTCTTTCTCTCGTTCACTATATAAATGAGCTCAATTCTTACATTGACGGAGAAAAATATATCGTAGGAAGATGCAAAATGACATAAAAATAAGGAGTATATTTATCAATTCTATACCTAACCCTGACCTTTCGTTTTGGCGCGTTTTGGTGGACAATGAATAATTTGTTTTGGGTTTTCTCACGCACAATTCTTGACTACTGAAAGCATGAAACATCTGGACGCATCCAGAATGGATTATCCATCTGAGAACAAGTTGATTTTCATTCAATCCTCCTCCCAACCAAGATTTCGACAGTGTTCCAGTTTTGGGTCATCTTTGAGAAATCTTTTGATCTCTATAATGTTCATCTTGAGACAATTCTGAACTTCATATCTCTTCATCTGAAGTGTCACCTTCAAAATTCCTGGGATTTCAAGAATCGGTTGACGAGGAGAAAACTCATGACTGCAAATCACTTAGTTGATTGCTTGAGATAACTCTGTGAAAAAAAGAGATAGGAAGACAATTCAAAAAATGTCCCAAGAAATATATAAAGATCGTCCTCATGCCTCTGCTGTCAAAGTTGAAAATAAAAAAGTTTTTCTTCATTTGGGATACTTTTGAAAATTATTCCGAAATTTCGCACTGTTTCAGGTAACACCCTGTAGCGATTCAATGTGGAAAACCTTATGTTTCGAAGGAGTACGAGATTATAGCTAAAGGACTTGGCTAGCAAACAGTGTGAACCGAATTCAAATTATTTGAAGCAGAAAAAAGTTATTCATATTTTAACGGGGGCAAAATTTTGAGGTGGGACGAAAGGAGGGATAACATTTTCACTGTCACCAGTTGGCGATACTAGAACATGAGGTCAATGCCAAGTTAAAAATCCCAAAATTTTGCCGGATAGCCCAAGAAGCTATGGCCTGTTATATCGAGAATATTTTGAGAAAATTATGTAGAATATTATGAACAAATGGAAACCTCAAGATATACGTGAGCCACGTCTTACGTTTTTTTACTCTCAATGTGGGACTTCACCAGATGACACGAATTAACGAAGTATATTCATCAGTTCTACCACGGTATTAAATTGTCAGATCGATATCCAGAACCATCATTGAGTTTCTTGAGTGAAAATGTCTTCAAGTGAAGATGATCTACCATCAGATACTCAAAATGCGGCGACAAGTGTAATTGAAATTTCTTTGTATTCATTGTATAAACGATTCATTTTGGTTGACTATTCCACTCTTGATCTCGAGAACCAATCAGAATCGACCATTTTCATGGTTTCTTCTGTATTCTAGCGATATTTTTTGTTTATTAAATTTTATCGGACTTGCTCTACCAATACAGAAGCCGAATTGACCCACACGTGACCAACTAACCTCGTTTATCAGCAATAAAATTTTGACATCGTGTCTGGTCAAGATTGCTTTGGATTCATATCTGAGACAATAACCAAAGTTCCTACTTTATTTTATTTACTTATAATTCGCGTTCGTGAGATATTTTGTACGAAAGGCGAGACAATTTTATTCTGGCTGGACGTTTCATGTGTAATTTAAAAAGTTTGCCCATTTGTTGACGGTCTGACACAACAATAATAGAATTCAAATTCCTTTTTGAAGTAATTTTCTTCAATTACTCATGTTATTGTGACTGATATAATTACTAGCTGATGTAGCGCAACTGTTAGGGTTTGTTCAGGGCCTACTCTATCTCACCGGGCCGTAGTCTATCCCCTCTCTCTCGACGCTGACGTCACACTAGTAGGTTGAGATTTCACATCAGTCCGTACTGATGCGTTCGTAATTGATAGGCTATAGCTCATTT